GTCTGGGCTCAGCCTTCCAGAGAAGAGGAGCAGCTCAGAGTAGAGACGCTGCTCCTCTTCATCAAAAGGAATCAGCCGAGGTGGTTCAGACTTCGGATCAGGACGCCTCCCTCGGGAGATGTTCTCAGGGAAAATCTTTGGGTCTAACTCTGGAAACATTTGAGGTCCAGCCACCGGAAAACTTGATCCGTATTTGAAGATGGAATCCAGTTTGTGATCTGAACTCCTCTCCACCAGGAGACGGAACAAAACAAGAACCTACAACTTCCTCCTGGAGGAGGTGAGGCACTTCCTGTCTCTGGGCAGAGCAGCTGAAGGAACCATCACAGCCGGGGGTCCCCCAGGAGGAGCTGGAGAAGAATTCTCCACAACCCGACCACGGACGACTCGGGTCTAGTTAAACAGACTTGTTTCATTGTTGATTCTTTTTCTGAATAAAAAGATGAAAGACCTCGTCAGAAGGATCAGATTAGTCCAAAATGAGGCGTTCTCGATGAACGCGTCACGGAGAACTCCTGAGATCCTGATCCCTGCAGGGTTTCACATCTCACGCGTACGTTCAGCTCTTCAACGGACACTTTAAAGAAGTTATTTCTAAACCGACCGCATTCATAAAGTCATTAATAAAATAAACTCTCAGCGAGGAGTTTCCTCCCTGAACTGAGATCTCCCACTCCACAGGAGGCGCAGCAGCAGTTTCTAACGGGGAGTTATTTATTGTTTTAACGATCGTGGTTTGCTGCGGATCAGAAGAAGATCCGTCCAAACGCAGAGGAACCGAGCGCTGGAGCGACGGCTCGTGGTCTCGACGCTCGTGTGTTTTCACCTCGGGAGCGGCGGATCAGAACGTACCGCAGCGGGAGGAGGCGGGAGATCAGGAACCGGGTCCCAGAGCTGGTTCTCCAGGTTCTGCAGAGCAGACATGAGCGTGCACGCCCACAAGCTCTCCACAGCGGGGGGCTGTGCAGTTCTCCACCATGGTGCTGCTGCTGGGGGGCCAGCAGACCTGAAACCAGATTATTTTTATTATTATTAAAAATATAATCATCATCAGACCCCTCTGAGCTCTTCAACAGATTTATCCAAAAGATTTAAAATTTAATTTCTTGTTTATCCATTATTCAAATGATTTCTTAAACATTTTAAATCATAGAAATAGAAATTATTCATGACTTTCCTTTGATCTGGTGGCTCTTTGTTTAAAATAAAACACAACAGTTCTTATCCTGCGTACATTAAAACTGTTGATGCTTTTCTCAAAGATAGGCTTGAAAAAGTTCTTAGAATAAGAAAAGTTTTGTAATAATTAATAACTCGTTCATAATTAAAGAAAATCATTTTATGTTCAGTTGTGAAACCATCAGTTTCAGGCTCTCCAACAGTTTGCTAACTTTAACTTTAACGGGATCTTTTAGTGCAAACAAAATCTAAACACGCAGTGTTTACAAAGTGTCGACTTTTAAGATTAAGATTTTCTTAAAACTCCTTTTTGATAAATCCTATAGTTAGGGTCAGCTGGGGTTTCCTGAACTATCCCTTAGTTATTCTGCTATAGGCTGAGACTGCTGGAGGACACAATGTCCTCATGTCCTCTCTCTGTCTTTACTTCCTGTTTGTATTTGTAGTTATTTATATCTTAACATGTTTTTATCTTCTATAGAAACCACACCTGGACCTGTCATTCTGTGGTGGTTTCTACTTCCTGTCCTCTCAAACCAGCCGGTCGAAGCAGACGGCCGCTCGTCCTGAGCTGCTTCTGCTGCAGGTTTCTTCCTGTTTAAAGGGAGTTTTTTCGTTCCACTGTCTCCTTTGTGCTCGCTCAGGACGAGAGACTGTGATGACGTGAAGATTGAACAAATCTGCTGCTTCCTTATTTTATAATTTATGTGAAAACTTTTGTTCTGTGCCAACGGTGAAGGTTTAATGAAAGAAAACCACAAAATGGCTGCACATTTTTATTTTGGAAAAGATGTACAGTACTGTACGTACACAAACCGCGATAGAACGAGTCCGCAAAAGTTGAACCGCGACGTAGCGAGGGATTACTGTATATGTATAAATTTGACAAATTATGACGCACAGATATTTATGCTATGATGGGCAGCACGGTGGCTCAGTTGGTAGAGCTGCTGCCTCCTCTCGGTGAGATGTCGTCCTGGTTCAAATCCCGGTCCAGGGGCCTTTCTGGGTGGAGTTCACATGTTCTCTCCGTGCATGCGTGGGTTTTCTCCGGGTACTCCAGTTTCCTCCCACAGACCTAAAACATGCATGTTAGACTGATTCTAACTCTAAATTGTCCCTAGGTGAGAGAGAACGGTTGTCTCTATGTGTCTCTGTGATGGACTGGAGACCTGTCCAGGTGTCTCCGCCTCACACACTGACTGCTGGTTATGGGCACCAGTGATCCCAGTGATCCGAAAAGGATGAAACAGGTAAAGATAATGGATGGATATTTACGCTGCGATGCATTCTGGGTAACTGACAGGTTGCTCCGGTGCGAGCTTCGATGATCTCGAAGGTTAATTTTTGACATCATCTCATGTGCAGCCATTTAAAGTGGAGGGTCTTGACAGAGAGAGAAGTGGAGAAAATGATCAACGGTCACGTTAACTCCAGAGCTGATTTATCATTTAAAAACCAATAAAATATTAAAAATATGTAAAAAAAATTAAAATAAACGAGTTAAACTCTTCAATTCTGCAAAGAAGCTCTAAAACAATAATAATAAAATGGTTTTAGTTGTGATTAATGTACTTTGACCAAAAATATCAAACACAATAAAATGAACCATGTTTTTGTCTAAATGAAAATATGTTACTGTCCGACTTTATAACGACAGTTCAGCTGTTAATTATATTTATCTTATCTTCAGTAAACACTTTGACAAAGTATAAAAGTTCTGGATAATGCCTCCGATCTCTGCCAACATGCCACGACTCTTGTGTGTGTTTATATTTCAATAATGTTGAGTTTCTGTCTATTCTTCTTCATGCAACTCATCAAAAATCACGTTTTTATCCAGAAAACATCTGGATCCTCCTCTGTCTGAAATTAAAACGAGCACAAATAATCCCGGATTTAAACAGATTACGGGTTTTCTTCCTCTCACCTGGCAAACACTGGATGAGATTAAATCAAATGAACGGTCTCAGTTCGTTATTTAAATAATTAGCTTGAATTTGATTGTGTTCGTTTACTCGCCCGTCCGTGTTTGCGCCTCCGTCTCTGGATGAAGATGTTAAACTGCTCCTCTTCGCTCCTCGGGAACACATCTCAGAACGGAACTCCTCCGCTGAAGGTTTTTTGCGTTTAAGTTTGGATTTTGAGTAACTTTCAGCCATTTCTGTTCAAGTTTACGCGCTAGCGGCTTGAAAGAGTGGGACTTCCGGGTAATGAAGCGTGACGTCAGTGACGCTGTCCAATCAGAAGCGACTGTTGTGGGCCGCCTTTTAAAGATCTGTCCAATAAGAAGCGAGATAACGGAAACGTCTGTCCAATGAGGGGGAAGCATCAAAGTGATTGACAGTTAAGAGGAGTCAAGTTATCTCAGTTCATCTTAATTATTGTTTAAAAAAAAGAAGTGATTTAAGGTAAATGGACATAAAAACAGATTGTTCAGGGTTCAAACACGTCTTTAGACTCGTGAACTATTTTTTGTTTGTTTTTTTAATCTCACAGTCCATTTCCACACTGGATATTTGAAAAATAAATAATAAAGTTTTGAACAAAGACCTCAGAGCATCAGTCAGCGCTCAGAGTGTGGGATGAGGATGACTCTCAGCTATGACCACACCTAATTTTAGCTCAGTGTCTTCAAAACTCACTGAGTTGGAGCCATTTTTGTATTAAGGTTGCACAGCTGTGACAGCCATCTTGAATTGAGTCCAAAAGTGAATCTTCTGTAGACATGAACTCACCAGCACAAGGTAAACAGTAAGTTTTGCCTGAGATCATAAAGAATGGTTCATCATCAAATTGAGACATAATTAGGTCACTTTAATTGTGGGAATGATGCAACTTTTTTGTGGTTGTGTCCGAACACGAGTGGTGCAGTTTGATGTGTTCAAATTCCTTTATTTTCCTGACATGTCTCCGATATGTCCATGTCTTTATGTCTCTGACTAGGTGCAGCTCGGAGGTTTAATCGAGACAGAAACAAAAACGATTTTACAACAAAATAAAAAGTGCCGCTGAAGATCTGGATCTAAACAAACTTTGCACCAACGATCTGTTTGTTGAATTGTGTCGACAGCAAAGGTCAAAGGAAAAGTTTAGAGGACAGCGGTGAGAGCAGCTATGTTTTATGGTCTGGAGACAGAGACATGGACAAAAAGACAGGAGACAAAACTGGAAGTGGCAGAAATGAAGATGTTGAGGTTCTCCTTAGGATATACCAGGATGGAGAAGATCAGGAATGAGATCATCAGAGGTACAGCACAGGTTGAACAACTGGGAGACAAATTTAGAGAGGACACACTGAGATGGTTTGGACATGTCCAGAGGAGGGACAGTGGTTTGGACATGTCCAGAGGAGGGACAGTGGGTATATTGGCAGAAGGATGTTAGAAATGCAGCTGCCAGGAAAAAGACAGAGGAGATCTATGGCTGCAGTTAGAAAGGACATGGAGGTAGTTGGAGTGAGGACAGAGGATGCAGAGGACAGAGTTCAGAGTGAGAACAGAGGATGCTGAGGACAGAGTTCAGAGTGAGAACAGAGGATGCTGAGGACAGAGGACAGAGTGAGGACAGAGGATGCTGAGGACAGAGTGAGGACAGAGGATAGAGTGAGGACAGAGGATGCTGAGGATAGAGTGAGGACAGAGTGAGGACAGAGAGAGGACAGAGAATAGAGTGAGGACAGAGGATGCTGAGGACAGAGTGAGGACAGAGAGAGGACAGAGAGAGGACAGAGTGAGGACAGAGAATAGAGTGAGGACAGAGGATGCTGAGGACAGAGTGAGGATAGAGTGAGGACAGAGGACAGAGTGAGGACATAGGATGCTGAGGACAGAGTGAGGACAGAGGATGCTGAGGACAGAGTGAGGACAGAGGACAGATGCTGGAGGACTCTCTGTGGAGACCCTGCAGAGGGAACAGCAGCAAGAAGAAGTTTGTCTCGTTCATTCCTAATGTCCAACTTTTCAAAGTGGACCTGCAGGGTTCTCCTGGGTTCTCCTGGGTTCTCCTTGCAGGAGGTTCTGTCACTGGAGAACTCGGGCGGTTCTGGCGCCGCTCTGCTCCCTCTGCAGGGACACACGGAAACTTGGAGTCATGGTTCTGGTGGGACTTTCTGGGCCTTTTAAGCTCTTGGCCCGGAGGAGACGGACCAACGCAGAGCGGTTCTGACTGAGCTGTGGAAAAATAAAACAACTGGGCCGAACGGAACCGAAGGAAAAGAAAAGTGTCTTTAATGAAGAGAACGTAAAACATCTGAGCCTGGAAACGCTTCCTTTAATCCCTCTGTTTTCAGCGGGCCGGGCTCCAGCGCCGGTTCTGGGTCCAGAACCTGGAGGGAAACATCACGTCACGCTCGGGGAGCGATGCTGTGTTGTTCCCTGTTGTCATGGCGACGACAGAGGCGCCTCAGCACCAGCGTCGACTGAACAGACCAACAGCTGCTGGGTGACCAGAACAAGGCCCGTGGATTCTGATGGACTCTGGCTGTTAGCAAAATATCTCGTGAACCACTCGATGGATTTTAAAGCACCTCTTGTAATGATTAGATGTGCGTCCACGACTGATGAGGTTTTGGAGTCGATCTGATTCAAGATGGCTGCCACAGCCAGCTGACTTTAGGCGAGACAAAAGGTATCAGTTTTACAGATAATGAGCTAAAGTTTGGGCTGGTTGCAGCTGAAAATCATCTCTGACACACTTTGAGCTCTAAGGGCTTTGCTTAAAACTTCAGTGTTGGCATCAACCTTGTTGTCTGTTAGCAAAATATCTCATGAACTACTCAATGATTTTTAATGAAACTTCCAGGAAGAAATTATTAAATGTGAGTTTACAACTGAACAACTTTTGGAGTCAATCCGATTCAAGATGGCCACCGCAGCTAATGAACATTAGCCCTCACAAAAATGACCTCAGCTCAGTGCAGATGTTGAGCTGTGTGGTGGTAGTAGCTGAGAGTGATCTCTGTAATCTGTTTATTCTGAATCCATGTCGTAAGATCTCATTATTTAAAAACAAATAATGTTTTTTCTCAAACCAAAAATAATAAAAATCCTGTTTTTAATTCCCGGAGAATAAAATCTAATTATAGCTGATGTTTTTCTCAGATTAGTCGTTTTAAGTCGAACAAATCGACTCAGAAATGAACAATCGTGTAACTCTGAGACGTCGGTTCAAAGACCAGCTGACCCGCTGCCAGCTGGGTTCTGTTAACTGATTCATCTGGTACTGACTGTGGCCCGGAGCAGCCCGGTTCTGGAGGATTACATCTGACCCCCCCAGATCAGGAGGATTACCAACAAGTGCTGTTGGGAAACAGCCGAAGAGCCCAGAAGCCACAGATTTGATTTTAGCCTTTTCTCACGATTCTTTCCGAGCTGACGGTTTGATTGAAGGCAGACAGTTCTGCTGTCCTCCCAGGTGGTTCTGGTTCTGGACTAAAGAAGTCCGGGCCGATAAGATCCAGTCTGCCTGTGTGCAGCTGAGTCCAGCTGTTTGAGGGACTTGTTTATGTTTGTGTTGTGAATAAAATATATAAAAATGTGTGTCCATTTTTAATCACTAATGTGCCAATTATATCAAGTAGCTAAAATTTAGCTCAATTCAGCTTTTAGCTACTAATGTGCTCATTTTATAAATTAGGTATAATTTAGCTTTTACTTATTTGCTAATTTTTATAATTTAGCAAAAGTTGAGGTAAACATAGAATTTAGCCACTGTTGTGCTAAGCTTATCATTTAGCTATAGTTTAGCTTTGAACAACTTCTTTGCTTATTTTAGCATTTAGCTACAAGTTGGCTAAATGTAATTTTAGGCATGGTTCTACTACTTTTAGCCACAGAAGAGCAAAGTTTTTAGCTTTTAAATACTATTGTGCTTTTGTTTACTTTTAGTTTTACTGGACTTTTGTTTTAAGTTTTGATTTTAGCTACTGTTGTGTTCATTTAAGCAAACGTGCTGCTGTTTTTACTGTTCTTGTGATTTGAACAGCTGTTTCAGCTTCTTCAGCAGATTTCAGCAGTCTCGTGTCAGGGTTTGCTGTTTTTTGTTTGTTTCATTTCCACGTGTTTTCTTTTCACCTCCTGTCTGAAGAACTTTAGCTGCACATTCAAAAGTCCAGTTTAGCTGAAGTTTAGCTGAGTCCAGAGGTCATGACATCCTGCGGGTCTGGTTCTGATGGGCAGGGGGCGCTGCAGGAGCAGGAAACACTTCAGACTGTTCTGGACCCAAAGAAGACCGGATCAGAACTCAGAAACATCTTCAGTTTGGTTCTTTCTGCCTGATGAAGAACTTCTCATTGGTCAACTCTGAACTTTACAGATTTAAACAGATTCAAAGTTTCTGACGGTGAAATCAACAGATTCAATGTTTCTGATGTTGAAATCAACAGATTCAAACTTTCTGATGTTGAAATCAACAGATTCAAAGTTTCTGATGTTGAAATCAACAGATTCAATGTTTCTGACGGTGAAATCAACAGATTCAATGTTTCTGATGTTGAAATCAACAGATTCAAAGTTTCTGACGGTGAAATCAACAGATTCAAAGTTTCTGATGTTGAAATCAACAAATTCAAAGTTTCTGATGATGAAATCAACAGATTCAATGTTTCTGATGATGAAATCAACAAATTCAATGTTTCTGATGGTGAAATCAACAGATTCAAGTTTCTGGCGGTGAAATCAACAGATTCAATGTTTCTGATGATGAAATCAACAGATTCAATGTTTCTGATGGTGAAATCAACAGATTCAATGTTTCTGATGGTGAAATCAACAGATTCAATGTTTCTGATGGTGAAATCAACAGATTCAAAGTTTCTGACGTTGAAATCAACAGATTCAAAGTTTCTGACGCTGAAATCAACAGATTCAAAGTTTCTGACGTTGAAATCAACAGATTCAAAGTTTCTGACGTTGAAATCAACAGATTCAAAGTTTC